GGGGAGGTAAACCGAGCCTGAACCCGTTTTATACGGGTTCAATGGGCATATTTTTGACCGAGTCCACGGGCTCGAAGAGCCCACGTTAAAAAGGCCTTGTGCCACTTGACGCCCTCGTGGTGGGGTGACTGAATATCGCAGTCGGTCAGTGAGTCGGTCGGTCTGTGAGTCGATGTCGGACGACAGTTAGTCGAATACGAAAGTATCAGAGACCACGACCAGATTACTCTGCGTCATACCAAGTTCCTAACGTTTTGTACGTCGAACCTATTTTAGGACTGATTCCACTGCGAAATAAATCCACAACAATTGATAGCAGACAGACAAAGCAAATAACAGGAACTACGGAAGGTGATAAAGGAAACCGAGAAGAAAGGACTAAACATCAATTGTAAGACGACAGAGTGTATAGTTGTTAGTAAAAGAAGCAGTTCTACAAGCGAACTATGTACTGAAAACATCGATATCATGTAAATACAAGTCTTAATATCTATGAACTGTTTTAAGAGAGGAGAGAAAATACGACACCAGAGTTCGAAGGCTCATTAAAATAGAGAACTTTGCTTTCAATAAGCTAAGCAAAGTATTAAGAAACAGGAAAATTTCGCGAGAAACAAAAAAAAGAGTCCTGAACTACTAGGCAATATCGGTCGTCTTATATGACAATGAATGCTGGACAATCTCCTCACAGATGAAAAAGGCAAAAGATGAAAGATAACTTAAAGCAAAAGATGAAAAGATAACTTAAGGTAAAAGATAACTTAAAGCAAAAGATGAAAAGATAACTTAAGACAAAAGATGAAAATATAACTTAAAGCAAAAGATGAAAAGATAACTTAAGGCAAAAGATGAAAAGATAACTTAAGGCAAAAGATAACTTAAGGTAAAAGATGAAAAGATAACTTAAGGCAAAAGATAACTTAAAGCAAAAGATAAAAAGATAACTTAAGGCAAAAGATGAAAAGATAACTTAAGGCAAAAGATGAAAAGATATAGCAACAGAAATATAGTTCTTCAGAAAAGTGCCGAGAATATCATGGACTGATCATTTGATTAACGAGGAAGAAGAAAGAAATAGTTAAAATTTCTAGAGCACATAATGTAGAAAGAGAGCCTGGAAAATTTGACACCGGTAAGACATACGGAAGACAAGAAGAACGAAAATAAAGCAGCAAATAACCCACCTAAAGATAAATGGTTGTCAGGATGAGTATTAGGAGAGATAGCAAAAAGGCAAACCTTACTATGAGTTACAAAGAACAAGAAGTTGTGGAGAACCATGATATCGAATATCGTGAAGGGAGACACGGCATATAAGAAGGTCAATCTATGATCCAGACAAATGGAGTAAAATCGAGTTGGTTACTGGTGGAAACTGCCTTCACAGTTTGAGAAGTCCACAATGTAAAAATAGTGTGACGTTTTGAAGTGCGAAGGTGGTAAACTAGTGGGCCAATGGCTAGTTTCAAGATGGAGTTAAAATGACAGCTCAGATGTAAACTGATTTTTCAAGGCTCTCAAGACGAAACCACAAGTTTTTCGAAAGAGAGATCTCTATCTATAAAAGGCAGGATGCGTGTGTGTGTGTGTGTGTAATGAATGCACGGCCGCAATTTTCGACGGATTTGCACCAAATTTTACATGCACATGCTCCAAGTTAGCGGAAAAGCCCAAGACAGACTTTGCATTTCCCAACTCCCATCGATAGTGGCAATAATTGATTTTTTCATGCTTCTATGGCAGTTTTTATGTAGTTTGCGGCCATTTTCTACTAGTCAGAGTGAGAGTCTATAGCTGGCTGCCACGAATAGGCAGGAAGATTCTATTGGCCAGCGTGAGAGCCAACAGCTGACAGATACGAATGTTAACTAGCATGCTAGCATGCAAACAAATCGATAGCTGCATTCGTCACAAGTGGGAAAAATTTAAATCTGCATCGCACTTTACTCCAATTGGCTCATTCGCTTGCTTAAACTCAACGTTGATTCTGATTCCGCAGAACTGGGTTGAGTGTGAAAAAGTATTTGTTGTTAACATTCTTTTTTCATTCGGTTTTTCCAGTTACGAGTCCTTTTTTAAAGCTGATCGTTTTGTGTTCATTTTGTTTAGTTCTTTTTTCGTAACAGATTTAATGTTAAGTATAGAGTTTAGAAAAAATTCGCAGTGAGAGATAGGCAAGAAGTAAGGCATGTAGCAACATCAGCACGGCAAAGGGCACTCCTTTAAAGGCAAGGAAGGGCAAAAATATTTTAAGTCAAGTGATAGCGATTGCCGTATGAGTCGTATGATTTTTGAATGAAGCACGGACAACGCCGGGCCATGTTGCTAGTAGTTTATATGCCCAACAACGTTCCATCACATTCAGTAAACGAATGAAGATCAACATAAAAATGGCTTTCAAAGACACTCGTTTGATAGAATGGTCAGATTGATCGTCTAACTCGACTAAATAATTAAGTCGCATTATGAAGAGGAAGGATTAAATGGGCGGACCACAATTTACAAGTAATTATAATTTTGAAATACTATTCTGGACGCCATATTGTATTTTTCATATGAAGAAATAGAACAGTTCACAAAATTAATAAAGGAATGACATTTAAACTTAATTACCGAACATGGAACATGCATTACCCATTGATGATGTGTTTATAATTTATCGTGGTATTGATGCAGTTAGCAGTTTTCTTTAAAGAGTTGCACTTAAATGTTACACACATTCTGTAATTATAATTAAAACATATTTCTTGCGGTTTTAGTAAACTTGGTCAATAATGGGAAACTTGGAAAATCTGGTAAAATTCGCCAAAATGCTGCCACATCATAAGAGTGACTGACATGTAATCGACCATAATTTATACGGATTTTGTAAAACATCTTGCATTTTAATAGTGAAAATATTTTTGTGAGTCTTTTTCATTATATTTTTTTAAAAATTAATGAAAATGTAAAGTGTGTCAGTGGATATGTCTATGAGCGTCTATGTGGGTGTATGTATGTATAAAAACGAATAAAAATATAACAACATACATCTTAACTGATGTTTGTACGCATTGTCTATAGTTTGTCATAAGACATCACTGTCAATTATTTTTAAAACACTGTTCAGAATTAGTGTTTATACTTTATAAAATAAAACAAGTTACAAGAATTACCTATTAGAATTGACATAGTTGCAATCAGAAAAAAAAAGTGGTTTTTCACCAGAAACTGGAGTTAAAATTGTGCAACAACAATATTATTTGGAATGCGATATTCAGAAAGTGCTGTTTACAAGGCCATTATAAAAGGCAATACAACACGACTAATACTTATTTGAATGGAAATAGATTTGGAAATATGTGAGAAGAAACAAGGAAAAAATCAGAACCAATAGGAAAAGAAGTGAATGCTATCAATGTAAGAAAGGATGTAAGTCAAAAATATGGTTTGAAAATAAAGTGGGACAGCTATTAAAAAAAATATTGCTTGTAGCAATTTGGGTTCTAAAGACATGTGGCTTGCAAAAAGCCACAGATTTCCTTAAAGAATACCCAAGTTGCCAAAAGGATATCAGCAGTAGCATGTTAAAAATGTTCTGAAGTTATCTATCTATCTATCTATCTATCTATCCATCTATCCATCTATCTATCCATCTATTCTCATTCTATCTATCTATCTATCTATCTATCTATCTATCTATCTCAACCTATTTCTTTCTTTCTTTCTTTCTTTCTTTCTTTCTTTCTATCTATCTCAACCTATTTCTTTTCTTTCTATCTATCTATCTATCTATCTATCTATCTATCTATCTATCTATCTATCTATCTATTATCATTCTGTTCATTTATCTATCTATCTATCTATCTATCTATTATCTATTCTTATTCTGTTCATCTATCTATCTATCTATCTATCTATCTATCTATCTATCTATCTATTCTCATTCTGTTTATCTATCTATCTATCTATCTATCTATCTATCTATCTATCTATCTATCTATCTATCTCAGCCTATTCATATCTATCTATCTATCTATCTATCTATCTATCTATCTATCTATCTATCTATCTATTCTCATTCTGTTTATCTATCTATCTATCTATCTATCTATCTATCTATCTATCTATCTATCTATCTATCTATCTATCTATCTATCTATCTGGGTACTTGTGGTTGTATCTCAACATTTGCATCTAAGAAAATATAGAGATCATCTACACTTTTTAATAGACTTAAAGTGTCAGAGAGGTGAGTAAGTATCCCACCCACTCACCATTTATTCTTCGAACGGTGCAGACGTGGGTGTGGCAGTGAAAGGGGGCATCGGCGCACACCCGTAACCATTTAAGGTTGAATAAGAACAAGTGCCAAGCAGTGAATATATGGAGAAAGGAGAGGGGGTGGCAAAGTAGATTCGACCAGATAATGTACTCTGTGCTCTGATTGCAAAAAAAAAAAAAAAAAAAATTAACGCGACGCGAGCTGGGGTGGAAGGAGAGGAGATGGGAGAGGACAATGATTGGGCTTAACACTGGCAAGTTGATTTAAGACGATGTCACTGGAGTTCGTCCGAAAGGCTTTTTTCTTTTCTTTTCTTTTGTTAAAAGCTTTTTACAAATTTTGGGATATACAGCGACGATATGACTTGGAGTAAAATGACTTGGTCGCTCAGGACTCGAGCGTGGAGTACTAAATAAACAAAGCAAGTAGAAAGAAAGAAAGAAAGAAAGAAAGAAAGAAAGAAAGAGGGAGAGAAAACGAAAGAGAGAAAGCCAAAAGAAAGAAAAAAACAGAGAAAAGAAAAAGGAGAAAGAAAGAAAGAAAAGAAACAAAGGAAAAAGAAAAGGAAAAGAAAGAAAGGAAAGAAGGTAATAAAGAAAGAGAAGAAAGAAAGAAAAAGAAAGAAAGAAAGATCGATATAAGGAGCAAACGAAAGAAAGAAATCAAGAAAAAAGACAAAAATAGATAGTGGTGCAAAAGAAAAGAAAGAAAAGGAATATTCGGTGCAATATAAAAGCTAAAAGAAAGAAAGAAAGAAAGAAAGAAAGAAAGAAAGAAAGAAAGAAAGAAAGAAATGAATGAATGAACGGTATAATAAGAAAGAAAGAAAGAAAGAAAGAAAGAAAGAAAGAAAGAAAGAAAGAAAGAAAGAATGAATGAACGGTATAATAAGAAAGAAAGAAAGAAAGAAAGAAAGAATGAATGAACGGTATAATAAGAAAGAAAGAAAGAAAGAAAGAAAGAAAGAAAGAATGAACGGTATAATAAGAAAGAAAGAAAGAAAGAAAGAAAGAATGAATGAACGGTATAATAAGAAAGAAAGAAAGAAAGAAAAAGAATGAACGGTATAATAAGAAAGAAAGAAAGAAAGAAAAGAAAGAATGAACGTATAATAAGAAAGAAAGAAAGAAAGAAAGAAAGAAAGAAAGAAAGAAAGAAAAGAAAAAGAATGAATGAACGGTATAATAAGAAAGAAAGAAAGAAAGAAAGAATGAATGAACGGTATAATAAGAAAGAAAGAAAGAAAGAAAGAATGAATGAACGGTATAATAAGAAAGAAAGAAAGAAAGAAAGAATGAACGGTATAATAAGAAAGAAAGAAAGAAAGAAAGAAAGAAAGAAAGAAAGAATAAACGGTATAATAAGAAAGAAAGAAAGAAAGAAAGAAAGAAAGAAAGAAAGAAAAAAAGAAAGAATGAACGGTATAATAAGAAAGAAAGAAAGAAAGAATGAACGGTATAATAAGAAAGAAAGAAAGAAAGAAAGAAAGAATGAATGAACGGTATAATAAGAAAGAAAGAAAGAAAGAAAGAAAGAAAGAAAAGACAGGAAGAAAAAGGAAACAAAAAGAATGAAACAGTCGAAAGAAAAGAGAAAAGAAAAAAAAAGAAAAGAAAGAGATTAAAGAAATAGAGAGGGGAGAAAGAAAAGGAAATGAAAGAAAGAGAGAGAAAAGAAAAAAAGAAAAAGGGTGAGATGGAAGAGAAAGGAAAAAGAAAGAAAGAAAAAAACAAAGGCAATTGAATGAAGACGGGAAAGAAAGAACAAATTGGAAAAACTAAGCAAAAAGGCAAAATAAATAAAGAATATGAAAAAGAAAAAAGAAAAATGTGAAAAAATTCGCTGGGCCGATACGGTTATGTGAAAAGTATTTGTGTGAAAAAGTGATAGGTTTAAAGAGAACTTAATGCTTTCTAAGGTAAGAAAAAAATTCTAGCTTCGACTGGAAAAATGTCAAGCAAAAAATTAATTTAAAATAAATAATATTTTTTTTAAAATAAATATTTTTTATCAAAATAAATATTTTGGTTTAATAAATTATATTAAATGAATTAAATTAGTACTCATTTTATTAGAAGTATTTCCTGTGTGAAATGAAAACCTTAAGTATATCCCCTGACGTATTCCTACTCATAAATCAAAAGGTAAAAAGCGATAAAATTAAAAAATAAAAAATAAAAAAAATATCGAAACGAAAAGAAATAAGAGAAGACTATATAGTCAATTCTTGTTTGTGTATTTATTTCCTACTAGCAATAATATATGACGTTTGAGACCGTGTAAGAAGGTAGGATTTCAAACACAGCTAGTGTCCACTCTATTTGGAACGTCGTCGCAACACTTTCACTCCTCCATTTTGTTTCTTTTGGAGTTGTGTTAAAATAATCTTAGTAAAGACACAAGCATAAAAACGACATCCCCCAAATGTTTTTTGAATATTTTTTGTTTGGTGATTATGGGAGATGAGACGTGTTAGAATCTAAATAAAAAGCCAAACTTTCAAACGCTATTTTTCATGATAGGTTAACAAGGTGGCAAAAGCCTTCAAAGAAAAAGATCCATTTTAGTTTTATTATTATTTATTATAATAAACATACGAAAAACTGAAGCTCATTAAAATACGAAAACTTAAGAAATCAGCGCATATGCTAAGCCATAAAAATCTCCTCAGAATACAATATGGGAACCAGTAATACAAAGTGTTAGAGAAAAACAATAATAACACCAAATTGCAATATGAGCTTGGGTAAAAGATGTTATTGAAACATTAGATTTATAAGTCCCCAAAATTCATTTACTGATGACCCCAGTGGATAAAGGCGTTGGTTGAAGTAATCCAGTGATTTGAACCAAAGAGTTATGAGTTCAATACCTGGCCACAGCAGAGGTGGACAAAAACATGGATAGTTGTGTTACTAAAGGAAATTAACTGAAACTGAGACATCTAGAACAATCTACCCCCGTGGAACTAGAACTATCTATCCCCGTGGAACAAGAACAATCTACCCCCATGGAAATAGAACAATCTACCCCCGGGGAACTAGAACAATCTACCCTCGTGGAACTAGAACAATCTACCCCCGTGGAACTAGAACAATCTACCCCCGTGGAACTAGAACAATCTACCCTCGTGGAACTAGAACAATCTACCCCCGTGGAACAAGAACAATCTACCCCCGTGGAACTAGAACAATCTACCCCCCGTGGAACTAGAACTATCTACCCCGTGAACAATCTACCCCCATGGAAAAGAACAATCTACCCCATGGAAATAGAACAATCTACCCTCGTGGAACTAGAACAATCTACCCTCGTGGAACTAGAACAATCTACTTCCGTGGAAATAGAACAATCTACCCCCGTGGAACTAGAACAATCTACCCTCGTGGAACTAGAACAATCTACCCCCGTGGAAATAGAACAATCTACTTCCGTGGAACTAGAACAATTTACTCCCGTGGACTAAATAAACGGTTGGCTTCAAAATTCCAAAGTATATAACCTGAAGAAGGCTGGAGCGTACAACGGCCGAAACGTCATCGATATGACAATAAAAAATGAGGACAACAGTTCGAACAATGTAAAAGGAATCTAATTTTATGTGTAAATATATCATAGCAATTTTAGTTGCATTTGTTAAGAATGATTTTGTATGCTGAAAGGAATGACTTTTAGTTAAAATACTTCCACGACAATAAGTAACAATATGCAGTAATTATAGCGATTTTCTAAGCGTAGCTTAGATGTGGCACAAGGCCGAATGTATGGGGCACCCAGTGAGGATCGAACTCACGACTCAGTTGCAATCGTTCTAGGGAGACAAGCTTGCTAACCATTACACCGCCTCGAGGTGCCCGGGCAGTAATTATATGTTTGATTGTGATTTCCGTCCTAATTATTATTCAGAACTAGCAATAACACCCAGCGTTATGCGGGATAAGTCCATCTTCTGTGCTTAAACGTGCAGAAGTTTTCTTATTGACGAATTTCACGTATGCCGTAAAAAAGTATTGGCGAATTTGTCGTAATTAAAGCAATTTGAGAGTTTTAAATATCTTGGTAGGAGTTGAATTAATTTCCGGTATGTAGACATCGTGGCACAGTAGTCAGTACGATTGTACAGTAATGGAATCATTGCGAATTCTTTTTCACGATAGAATGATTTTTCTTTAAATGAACTCGGCAAAGATTTTACAAACATTCTAATGTTACTGACTTTCCCTAATCATTACCCGGATAATTTTGATCAACATTTTTCTTTATTTGATTTGTTCCTTACCTCCTCCTCCTAGCTCTTGTCCAGCATCACGACTTTGTCCTCTTGGCAATTCGGATCATGCAGTTGTATCTGTTGATATTTCTTTTGAGTTGTCTATTAGACAGGAACCTCCTATAAACAAGACTTCTTTCTGTTACCAGCATATTGATTGGGATTCATTTTGTGTATTTATTTGATGTGCCCCTTTGATTGATATTCTTAACCTTCCTATTCAGAATTGTGCTACAATGGTTTCTTCTTGTATCAAAACCGGCATTGGTAACTTTGTACCTTCTCGCAAATATCAGGAGAGAAACTACAATGTGTCTCCAAGGAGCCTAAGTCTTTGTTTGCTGATAGAATGAGTAACCGTATCGCCTCTAACAAGTTTAGTGCACGTGACTACTGGGACATTTGTGTGTTAAATAAGAGTACGTTTTCTATCTCTCCTCTCTTCAATCAATTTTGAGGTGTTAACATCCTCTGCTGATAAAGCAGAATGATTTGTTCGTAAATTCTCTTTAAATTCTACTCTTGACTCATCTAGAGTACATTTGCCTGACTTTCCACTTAGAACTGAGTCCCTACAGTGTGATATGTATATAATTTTATCCATGGTTTCTGATATCATATCTAAACTGGATCCTCACAAAGCATGTGGACTTGATAGTATCCATGGAATAGTCCTTAAAAAAATTGCTCCTGAACTTTACAATAAATGCATTGCTAATTATTGCTTTACTGCTTGTTGGCCTTCTACCTTTTTTTGGCAAAGTACTGGAGGCTCTATTTAACTCTGAATTGGTTTAGCATCTCAAAATCGCAGGGTCTTCTTTCCGGTAAGCAATATGGCGCTTGCTTCTCTAGGTCAACTGCATTAACGATTATTGCGGAAAAGTCTACCAAGATTTAAATGAAAATGGTGAAGCTCGGCCTGTTGCTTTGGATATCTCGAAGGCATTTAACAGGGTTTGGCATACTGGTCTTCACAAGTAGAAAAGTTATGATATTTTTGGAGAAAATTTTGAACTGATTCTATCCTTATTATCAAATCGCAAAATGAAAGTTATCCTGAACGGCCATTCTTCTCGATCTTTTTCCATAAATACATATGTTCCCCAGGGCTCTATTCTAGGACCTATATTGTTCCTAATTTTGATGCCACTGGTGCTTCTGCTATATATTTAGAGATTCTTAATAAAATCCAAAGATTATCGGTCCTGACCTGGCATCTCGGCTTTAGCCACATTCCCAACGCCGTAACGTAGCTTCCCTGTGCCTTTTCTATAAATGCTTTAATGGTAAATTTTTAGATGATTTCTTCGCTATGGTATCGAGAGCTTTCTCCTGGCTAGTGAGCAAGTCTTTGAATGCGGCGTGTGCTTTTGTCTTCGCAGATCCGACGGGCAGGCTTTGCGTGCTGGATGTTACCATAAAGGAAAAGGCTCTTCGTCTCATTGGGATTTATTCTGAGAGGCTTGATTTTTTTCAGCGGATTGAGCCGTTTTTGATGACATCTCATCGGGTAGTTTCAGCGGGGGATTTAAATGTCGTCCTTGACACCGAAATAGATCGTATAAGGCCAAATTCGGGTACTAACAACCGGAACATTTTGGGACTTTATCGATAAGTCTGATCTTGTCGATGAGTACCTGAATGAATACCTTTAGGAAGTAGTGTGTACTTGGACTAATAGGGGTGGATCGGCCACAGTGGTGTGTTCTAGCTACCTCAACCGAATCTTGGAAAAGTCAGTGTAGAGCTCTTAAGGTGTCAAATATATAGTTTATTCGGATCATGGGCTCTGCCGGGTCCGTGTAAACTTAGATAAGCCTATGGTTAGTATGGCTGGCTACTGGAAATTGAATTCATCTTTGTTTGCTGAGCAAGATTTCCGGGAGCAGCTGCTACTAATGCTACAGCAGGAACTGAAGAGACCTGTGCTTGGGAATATATGTCTGGATAAGTTAAAATCTAAAATTAGAACGTTTGCCAATAAATATACTCATCGGCTCAATTTAGATAGATCATCGGCGCAAACGACTTGTGAGAAAAATGTCGACCAGGCAATTAAATCCTGTGATAGTGGGGAGGTAGCTTTGGCTAAGGCAGCCGTGGCCTCTTTGCTTATCAAGAAGGAGCAAGCTCTGGTAGTTAGGGTTAGGTTGAAGAGAATGTCTTCGGGGACAACGAACATGGCCGCTGAATTGCGCGCAGAGGAAGTTTGCGTGCTTTACCTTATCGGATAATCGGACTGAAACTACAAACGCGGGTTGTCCTCTCTAGTCTGATTGGCTTCGAACAGACTTGTGCTGTGAAGGGCAGGACTATTCAGAGAAACCTTGATATTGTAAACTTGATCATCGAGCAAGTCGACAGTGAAGCTGCACAGATCAGTTTAGATCAGTCCAAGGCATAAGGCGGACCATCGATTTCTGAAGACTGTCCTTTCGGCGACCGGCTTCTGGCCGTACTTTCGCTCCTGGATCCAACCTCTCTATGCGACTCCCGGTGCGCTG